TCTGGCTGGGGGACTTCAGCCACCCCAACATCTGCTAGGAAAGTAGCACAACGAGCTGTAGGAAACCCAGGAGATTCTTGAAGTGCATTAAGGATCACTTCTTAAGCCAGATAATAGACAACCCTACCAGAGGGGATGCGTACTGTACCTGATGATCACCAACACAAGCGAGCTAATCAGTGATGTCAAGACTGGAGGCAGCCTAAGCTGAAGTGGTCATGCTCTTTTGGAGTTTGCAGTCCTGAGACTTATGGATCATCTGAAGAGTAAAGTCAGGACCCTAAATTTTACAAAACAGTGATTCCACCTGTTGGAGAAGTCAGTAAATAGGACCCTCTGGGAAACTGCCCTCAGGGGTAAGGGAGCAGAACAGAGTTGGCTTATCCTTAAGGATGCTTTTCATAGAGTGCAAGAGCTCTTGGTGGTCATTTGTAAAAAATAAGGAAAGGAAGGCAAGAGACCAGTGTGCCTGAGTCAAGGTCTGCTGGTCAGACTAAAAGGCAAGAAGGAAAAGCACAGGCAGTGGAAGCAGGGACAGGTATCCTAGGAAGAGCATAAGGCTGCTGAACAGTGTCTAGGAATGGGGTCAGGAAAGACAAAGTGCAGCTGAAGCTGAACTTGGCAAGACATGCAAAGGAAGTCTTCTACAGGTATATCAGACAGAAAAGGAAGGTCAAAGAAAGTGTACTCTTTGATGAACATGACTATCAAACTGGTAACAATGGATGAGGAGAAGGCTGAAGAAGTACCAATAATTTTCTACCTCGGTCTTCACTGGCAACCTCTCTTCCCACATCTTTCGAGTGGATGGACCTCAAGGCAGAGACTAACAGAGACCTTCCACTGTAAGAGAAGATCACCTGAGGAATCTGAAGTTACATGTCTATGGAACCTCACAAGATGCATCCCAGAGTCCTGAGGGAATTGGCTGTTGCAGTTGTCAAGCCACTCTCCATGATAATTAAAAACTTGTGGTAGTCAGGTGAAGTCCCAGGTGACTGTAAAAAGGGAAACATTGTACCCATTTTTTTAAAGGGTAGAAAGGAGGCCCCTGGGAACTACTGACCTATTAGCCTCAGCTCTGTGCCTGGAAAGATCATGCAGCAGATGCTCCTAGAAGCCATGCTAAGGTACGTGGAGGACAGGGAGGTGATTTGAAGTAGCTTGGCTCCACCAAGGGCAAGTCCTGCCTGACCAACCCAGTGGCCTTCTGTGATGAAGTGTCTACATCAGTGGACAAGGAAAGAACTACAGATGTTACCTATATGGACTTCTATAAGGCCTATGACACAGTCCCCAAAAACATCTTTATCTCTAAACTGGAGAGATACAGACTTGATGCATGGACGGTTTGGTGGATGAGGAAGCAGCTGGGTGTTTGCATCCAGGCTAGGGATCAACTGCTCGATATCCAAATGGAGATCTGTGACAAGTGATTTCCTTCAGGGGTCCATATTGGGACCAGTACTGTTTAATATCTTTTTCAAAAACTTAGAGAGATGAAGCGTGTTCTCAGCACGTTTGCAGACGACAGCAAGATGCGTGGTGCAATTGACATGCCTAAAGAGTGGGACACCATCTGGAGGGACCTGGGCCTGGAGACTTTAGAAGTGGACCTTTGTGAGGGTATAAAATGATCAGAGGGATTGAACACCTTTGCTATAAGGAAAGACTGAGAGAATTTGAGATTGTTCAGCCTGGAGAAGAGAAGGTT